TCAAGATCTTTCATCTGGATGTCCTCAATCTTCGCCTTCCATAACGGCCAGATTGTGGCGCATGTTCCAGACTCCAAAGAATCTAAATGTAATGAGTATAGAATAGAGCTTTAACAAGAAGGAATACATACCTGCTCGTCCGACGGTCTGTTCTGCGATCTTGGATACCCAGTTGATGTTGTCATAAACCCCAGCAAACAGACCTGTGGATGCGACAGTTCGATACTCCTTTCGCATTTCATCCGAGAGCTGTCGCAAAGATCCACCCTTGGTCATAACTTTATCTGGGTCTGCGAGCTCTTTCTCGATTCCCTCGAGTGACACAGTCAGAGGAAGGGCTGACTTTGCTGATTTCCTCTTCTTTTTCTTCTTTCGAAGCCGCTTCTTGGCGACAATGCCATTATAGCTCTCCGACAGACCCAAATGAGATGCAACCGTAATTGTTTGACGCTGTGACCCGGTTGCATAGAGATACAGACCAAAGACACGCTTGAACAGGTTGTTTGACATGCTGAATACCCCCAAACATTGCAGCATGACGGATGTGAGGACCTATGGATCATGACTAAGAAGTTTATTCGGTTGTCAAATAAGAAATGTACCGTTTCAGACCGACGAACAAAAAGTTTCGAAGCGTGAGCTGCAGAGCGCGATGATGTGATGAAGGATTTCAAGACATGCATGGAGGTTGATGCTGCTGATCCGAAGTAGCTGTAGAGCGATGAAAGATTGAACTTCTTGATCATTTCACCATCAAGAACATGATTGAGCATCTGTAGATATCCAGATGCAGTTATCGTTCGAGCTTCATCCTTCATTTGATGTCCTGTATATGCCACAGCCCAGTCGTGCACCTCCTGCTGTCCTGTTTCACTGTTCTTGGATGAAACCCAGTGATCCAATATTCCTGCTGCTGAACCACGCTTTTTGAAGAAACCATCGTAACGAATGATGCCTTGTCTGTGAGCTGGATCAAAGACATAGAACATTAGGTCGCGAAAAGAAAGCCCAGCATTGGTCAACGACGCCAAAGTGGTGTCCATTGCTGCTATCTGATGGCTGCTGAATGTACCATCAGCCGGAGCAGCATCGAGCTTCTTCTGCTCGGCTTTGGTTGCATTGATTAGGGCCATTTTCTGTCCCCGAGCTTTTTGGCCAAGCTCCATTCGCATAGCCCGTTTCTGAGCAGCGGTTCCAACAATTGGAGGCTCGTAGATTGGCCCTGAGCTATCCAGAGGTGGCAGTGATGCTGCACGACGACGTCCAGATAAAGGGGTACGAGGAGATGCTTCTGGAGGAAGAGAGGGACGAAGATGGATTTGCTGGGATTGTGATGGCGTGGAAAAGCCTGGAAGCTCATCGTCGCTGGATGATTCTTCGTCAGAGAAATTCATAGTCGATATTATGAGCTGGAAAGAGGTTGGCCAATCTGAAACCTGGCTCCAACGGAAGCAAATTTTTCACCTCTCGCTGCCATGCCCCCTAAAGAAGGGAGGAAAACAGTCAAGTCCAAACACAAATTCCTCTCACATGAAGTCCCCAAGCAAACCAGGGCACCATTGACCCCAAAAGATCTCGAAAATCTGCCGCAATTGATAAAGGAGCATCTAGGATGGAGCAAGGAGCTACGACCCTTTCAGCTTGAGGCAATTCGGTCCATTCTGCTGAAAAAGGACGTCCTCATCCATGCTGGAACAGGCTGTGGAAAGACAGCGATAGCAGCCGGTCCTCATGCCCATCCAAGTACAAAGGGAAAAGTGACGCTAATGATTTCGCCACTGATTGCGCTACATACCGAGCAGGTCAGTCTTGCATTGAAAGACTTGAACATGGAACTAATTACCCCAAGCAGGTTCAAACCTTCACATCCGAGTTCAAATTGACTGCCACTGCAGTGAATAGTGCTCATGGAGGATGTAATGCTGAAAAGCTCAAGGTCACATTGTTGCCGCAATCCCAGAGGACTCCCACTCACATTCAGACAGGATATCACCAATGGAAAATGGCAAATTGTGGTCATCTCACCAGAAATGCTGCTATCACGACGTTTCCTCCGCAATGTCCTCCAGAATTCTGCTTTCGCCTCGCGTGTGCTGAATGTGGTTATCGATGAGGCCCATGTTGTATCGCACTGGGGAAAAGCATTTCGCAAAAAGTACGGTCAGCTCGGAATCATTCGGGCCTTTCTTCCCAAAGGCACACCTGTCGTTGCAATGTCAGCGACTCTTCCGGTTCGAGTCAGACATGATGTTCTGAGCAAACTCCAATACAAACCTGGAACCTATACCTTCATTGACATTGGAAACGACCGTCCTAACGTTTCGCTCGTCGTCAGAGCTATGCAAAACACAATGAATACTTTCACCGACCTTGATTTCCTAATTCCAGATGGGGTCACGAAGGCAGAAGAGGTACAAAAAGGATTTGTATACGCTGACAATATCACGACAGGTACCGACATTGAAGATCACCTTGGAGAAAGACTACCAGCACACTTGCGAGGAATCATTCGCCCCTACAATGCTGCACATTCAGTCGAGTATCGTGACAAGGTCATGGAACTCTTCAAAGCCGGAATTGTGCGTATTCTCATCTGTACAGATGCCGCAGGCATGGTCAGTCAAGTCAAATCAAATCTTTACTATCGCTCACTCGGGTATTGCAGGGCTGTAATATTCCAGACATTGATATCGTGGTACAGTGGAAGCTACCAGGCTCAATGTCTATATTCTTGCAGAGGGCAGGAAGAGCTGCTCGTGCTGGGGATCGTACTGGTCTCGCTGTCCTATTAGTCGAGGCAACAGCATATGGGATTGATATTGTAGCATTGAAGGAGGCTGTCGAGTCAATACCGGTCAAGGGAAGAGGCAATCGGAAGGGAAAAAAGAAGAATCCATCGCGAAAGCTGGATGCTCGTGCTCGAGGTGTTCAACGAGGTTCGATTGGCGGCAAGCATGATCACATCTTTGTGCGAGAACAGCCGATGCTGGATCCGGAGGCAGACGATGAAGGTCTGCTTGTCTTTGTACAGACTGGGCTATGCCGTCGACATGTTCTGAGCTCCATCTATCAGAATGCAGAAGCAGGTAAGCCTTTAGATTATCTAGAGAATCAGATTACTGACCAAATCATAGCACCCACCGTACCCTGCTGCGACATCTGTGATCCAAGCCTTCTGGACAGGACTAGACCTGGACGCTCATTGATTAGGAAAAGACGAGCAGCAGCAAAGAAAGGACTACCTTGTATCTCGACTCAAGAGGCCCTTCATCTCTGGAGATGTGAAATCCATGAGCGAGACTTCCAGGGCTCGTTGTTTCCGGCATCGGGTCTCATGTCTGACAAGACACTGGAACTTCTGGCTTCTGTTGGTCCTGTGGTCAAGCAGAAAGCAAAGTTGACGAATATTCTGGTTGAGGAATGGCAGTGGTTCGAAAAATATGGTGACGAGCTTCATGCGCGCTTGTTGACCTTGGAAATTCCGGAATTTATGCCGCTCCCAAAGAAGACAGCACAGTCGAAGAGAAAGGCAGCAGAAACCAACTCTAATGCCGCTGCTGACATCAATTCAAGACCTTCCAGAAGCACAGATAAGCGCCAGAAGCAAGCAGAACAATCTCAACATACCGGCAGCGCAACCATTCCAAATGTCTCAATGGCGCCCATTCCACCACACCAAGCTCCAGCGGTTGCACCTGGAAGGCTCCTACAGCAACCAACAGCTCCAACGAATTCCAATCCAGCTGCTCCAGGCCCCCAGTTGGTCTATCAGCCTCAGCCTGGTGCCGCATTTTATCATCCCAATCCGTATACTATGGCACCAATAATGACGGCGGAACAGCAGGGTCTCCAACAGCAACATCTCCAGGATTACTATAGGCAGATGGAATATCAGAGACAGTTGCAATGGGCTCACTATTATCAGCAGAATCCAAATGTTCCGCGGCCGGGGGGTTCACAATAGTCGGGAAAGGAAGGAGAAATAAATGTTTATTGGCGGGCAGAAATACATATTTTGAGGGTGGAACAATTTGCGCTCATGTTGCTGTGCAAAAAACCGAGTTTTGGGAGAAAAAAAGTTTGCGAGCATGAAGATGAAAGAAATTTGGCTAAGTCGCAGTCACGTTTGTGTGACCCTGCTATGTGACTGCCGGTGTTCACCAGTCGTTTCATGAAGGTCATCTTTGTTTGGTACAAATAAAGCTGACCGAAATGAGATGACGGTAACGAGTCTAGGGCTGACTGACTGGATCTTTCGTTCGGAGATTGACGGATCAATCGGAGATTGAACCATCTCATTCTGCGCTGAATTTCTTTTGCCGCCACCACATTATGGCCGGCCTCCCTCTGCAAATTTTCCCGTCCTATTTAATGCCGTAGAGCTCGACCATGTACTTAACATGGCCGGCGAAAGTGGCATCGTGAACGCTATCAATGGGCTCACCATTCAAGTGACGAATCTTAGCACTCAAGTGCGTCAATAACAACCATGGCGAACTCATATCCTAGTAAGCCTTTGTTGCCTCCTCCGAGTCGGAATGCCATAAATTAATTCCTTTTCTCAGTATGCAGCGTGAACCCATCCGCCACTCCAACGCCAGTACTACAGGTCTTCTGAAGAATCATCATGAAGATTTCTTGCTGGCAGGTGGCATTCAACCTCGTGATGACCTTCACGCCGCGTCACCCGCGATGCTCGAGAGGCTCCATGTTCTCAATCAACATCTCGGTGGCGTCCCTAATTATCACAGCAGGGTTCTGTGGTGTTGAATCAGAAGAGAACCGTTTTGGCCGATTATCTCGGTATCTCGGTGACAGCAACCTCGTTGAAATCAAGTCTCTAGCTTTATTTGTTCCTAGACCCAAATCGAGTAATGCCATATCTGACAAAACTGTCTTGCAAGCTTCGTACGATCTTGCCGTTTCTTTTTCGCTGGACGATAGACTTGTCCTTTTAGTGGGGAGCTATAGCTAATCCGGAGCCTTATGGGGTGCTCCGTGGGGATATGGCCGAGTGGTCTAAGGCGCTAGAATCAGGTTTTAGCCTTTATCTAGTCATTATATGGCGTGGGTTCGAATCCCACTGTCCTCATGTTTTGTTGCTAATTCAGCTTCTGTATAGCATTTTGACCTTTTCAGTCAAACACCACCGGTCGCTTGAACACCTCCAACACAGCACAACAGGCGGGCACATGATACTCTACATATTCAGACAATAATAGTAGGCATCAATACGAAACTTTCCATCCAATTTTTATGCGAATCCATCCAGAAATGACCGAGATATGGCCTATCAATGTATGTGAAATATTCTAAATGACCTGGTGATCCTTGAATATCTTCAGAATGGGTGCGCTGTTCCTACCAAATTTGGACACGAGAGGGCATAGCCAGAGACCAGCCAACTTTCAGTCGCCCAGTCGCCAAGTCTTCCAGCTCTGACAACCCATTTTCTCTTCCTATCGTCATCGCATGTATCCCCTCTCGTATCTAAAAGGCGTCCTCGCTCCGCCTTACGCGCCATACAGTAACAGGTTGTAAGAATCTGTATCGATAATTCATGCTCCCGCTGTCATGCATCGAAAAAGTCCAAGCCTAGTTATATTGTTTGAGCACCGCTATGCCAACGGTTGATCACATTGTACAAGCTCTGGCTCGCCCAAAAGAGGAAGAAACTAAAATGCAACCTTGTGCCCAGCATCGAGCTTTTGCTTCGATGACTCGGTCCAGCACCTCTAGCACTGCAAAGAAAAGGAAACAAAAGAAATGGAAGCACAAACAACAAAAGAAGGAATACAGAAACAACCAGCCGCAACGAAACCCAATCAATAGTCCAAGCGACCACCAGAAAGACCGCCATCACACAGGCAAAAAAAAAAAAAACATCGACGAATGAAGTGAAGAACCAAAAGCAGCGAATGAATCAATGAAAGGAGGCCACGGCATAAAGCCGACCGTTGCAACATCATCAGAATAGAGCCAGACACGAAAGAGCGCCAGCAGGCAAGTTAAGAACCGAAAACCGGGATAAGCCAACAGTCGAAGAGAAATAAACACGCGAGCAATCTTTGATCAGAACGGAAGGACCGAAAACCAGAAACAAGTCAACAGTCGAAGGAGAATAAACACGCAAGCAATCTTTGTCGACGCGCTCCAAACGTCGTTGGAGAGCATGAAGAACAAAGAAAGCGCGAAAGATGGAAATATCAAAGAGATAAGCATGCGCCTAGCCAATGCACTTTGCCGGGTCATTTGGTGACGTATTTGACATGGCCTGGAAAAAGAGTCAGATTACGCGTTGATTGAAGAATGAAGAGAATGAAGGACTTGCATCAATGTCAAGGTAAAGCTGTCAAGGTTCGGGGCTGCCGTTCGGGACAGAAAAAGGAAATTTGTGTCGCAAAGGATGGTGAGAAGAGGTTATATTTTTGCGTACAATCAAGATTCCCACTGCGCTACAACCTCTTTCACCTTTTCGACAATTTGCGCCGCCGGGGTCGCTTGCCCGAATGCTTCTACGAATGTTCCTGAAAAAGCCAATCAACAAGGGAGCAATGCAGTCGGAGAAACACGAACCATCTGGACCCATAAGATAGACAAATATGCTGTGGTCGACGAGATAGTCGCCCTTGGGATCCGCATTTGGTGGTGTCGAAAAGTAGACGCGATAAGCCCGAGCTATGGATTTTGTGGCCAGATACGCAGGAGACTGGTCCTTTTTTGGTTGGTCTTTTGCTGTCACCTTGACGTCTGGAGCATTCTGAATTGGCAAGTCATTGGTGCCTACGAGTCCGACGAATCGTGGATGGAAATCTTTGAGGTAGAGGGCAATCTGGTCTGGACTGTCGCGAGCTGGGTCGACCGAGACGAAGATGGGTTGGATGGGAATAGGGTCTACGACAATAAGAGATAGAGCAGTAGCAGAGAAATAAGACGTACCACAGGCCTTGAGAACATCGGACATCTTGTCCAGCTCTGCAGGACAGATATCTGGACAATTGGTGAATCCAAAATATACGAGATTCCAGTGGCCCAAGAGGTCCTTTTCGGTAAAGACGGAAGATGGCTTGGGTCCTCCGAACCCATTGGACGCGACGGTGAGCGCGAAAGGACCACCGACATTCGGCCGACCATATTGCGACGGCTCGTGTTGTTTCCTCTCGCGCTCTTCCAGGACACGAGCCTTCTTCCAGGTGAAATACCAATATAATCCGCCGCCTGTGAGGACGAATAAGCCGAAAGACAGCGGCGAAAAGATCTATTTCGATTTAAGACAGCTCAAAAAAATAAATAGAAATCACGGCTTACCCCTACTGCATTTTGACGACGATGAGGCAGCTTTGGCTTGAGCCGTTCGTCAGGCTTTGTCGAGTAACATCGAAGTCGCCGTATGAGCTGTCTTGAGGCACGAAACATCGGGCTTAGTCATCACCTCATTTTTTTCTTCTGATTTTCCCGACCATGTCTGCATCGTCACGGCCAACCTCGACACGCATTGCTGCCTCGCCTCTGCCCCGAGCGCCGGGCGTGAATACACAGACGAAAATCTTGGATTCAGGACACGGGAGGTTGCTTTGTATTGCTGATATTCGAGGAAGACATTCTGGGTTGAATGACCTGGCACGCGAAGCCAATGCCGTGGCCATTATCCATACCGGTGACTTTGGGTTCTTTGGTGCGTATAAAGTCCAATGAGCATTTTTTTTCTTTCATTAACAGCGACCATTAGAGTCTGGCAGTCTCGACAGAATCAATGACAGGGCCCTACGCCACTTGACCATGTATTCTCCCCTCATCACGTCGGCTCAGCGCACAACTCTTTTATCCCCCGAAAATCCACCAGCGTCCATCAGAGCTACCGTCAACGTCGACCTCTTGTCCGAATTCCCGCTTTTGCTCTCTGGACAGCTCAAGCTCGATGTCCCTGTTTACACGACCTGGGGCGCCTGCGAAGACGTCGTTGTCCTCGAAAAATTCCGTGCCGGGACTTATAATGTTGAGAATTTGCACATTCTTGATGAAGCCACCACGCGTTGTCTCGATGTCGGCGGAATAAAGCTTCGTTTGCTCGGGCTTGGAGGTGCCCTCGTCCCGCATAAAATGTTCGACAATGGGGAAGGAAATGCGACGATTGCTGGTGGACAGGGAACAATGTGGACGACAGCGTTGCAGATCGGAGAGCTCGTCGATACAGCTCAACGCGTCTTTGACAATTCGGAGACGAGGCTCTTGGTCACACATACCAGTCCAGGGCGCGAAGGAATCCTTGCACAACTCTCGCTTGTCGTCAAGGCCGATCTCACCATCTCTGCCGGTCTGCATTTCCGATATGCGACCTCGTACAATGAATTCAGCGTCCAGGGCGATTTTGAAGGGTTCCGGCGCAAGCTTGTCGGGGGGAAGGAGCAGTTTGACAAGGTCTGGGAGAGCGTCAAGAATCAGGTCGATGCGGTTATCGACGACAACCAACGGGTATTGCTGGACAAGGCATTGAACCTCGTCGAGAGATTGCCACCAGCACCAGCACCGACGGGCATTCCTGGAGGTACAGCGACGGGAGAAGAGCCTGCATGGAAGAATTGTTGGAATTGGAATCTCTGCGACGCGGCTTACGGGTCGTTGATTCTCGACATCAAGGAGGGCAGAGTCAGTGCAGAGCTCAAAAGCCAAGGTGCGTCAAAAGCTTTCTTTCCGCTACCAGATTATTGATTTGCTTTTTAGGGTTCAATTATGCATATAGACGTACAGCAACCGTTGCAGGGACACCGACATCGACGACACCTGCTCTTCCACCGAATGTCAGCGTAAATAGTGCGACCCCAGCAAAAGCTTCGACACCAGTTCCAGCAGATCGTGCTCCTTCTGCGAAAGCATCATCACCGCCTCCCGCAGCATCCAGTCCGAAAGCAAACGGAACCTCAGAATCCAAGGCCGACCGGGAGAAGCAGAAGAAAAAGGACAAGAAGGAGAGGAAGGATAAGGAAAAAGCGGAGAAGGATGATGGAAGGACCGCTGCATCGACGCCAGATGTCAGCTCTCCTGCTAGCGCTTTCAAACCTAGCGTCAGCTCTCCATTAATGTCAGCACCAGGTTCTTCCAAACCCGACTTGGACGAGCTCAAATCCCCTGGCACCGACGGTGGAAGCGGTGGAGCAAGGACACCAAGGGGAACCAAGCCTGCGAGAAATCCATGGACGATTTTCATGCGAATGAATGTTGCACCTACCGAAGGAGAAATCAGGGACTTTTTCGCTGATGCAAAAGCTGGCATTACAAAAATCAACCTTCCACCGCCTTTTGCCGGTCGACCGCAGCGGGTTGCCTATGTCGAATTCGGAGACGAAGAAGCTATGAGAGCTGCGCTGTCGAAACATGCCGAAGTGAGTCGCCTTTTTTTCATTTGTCTTTTCCGAATCTGACCTGGCGTAACAGAAACTAAAAGATCAGGTTCCAGAGGTCATGCAGGCGACAGACAAGGGTGATCGAGATGGTGCTTCTCATCGTGGTCGTGGTCGAGGAGGCGGTAGAGGCGGTGGATTCGCAGCTCGGGGATTATCGGCAGCTGGTCTGGTTAGCAAAGGTCGTGGAGGCGATGGACCGAAAAGCGCTGGTGCCGGAGATTCTTGAGGTTAGATTTTGGACTCGCTTCTCATTATGCTTTCATCCATATGCATTCAAGATACCAGGTAGTTTTGTCGTGAATTACGGGTCGCACTCGTGCATAATTTTTACGGCTTTTTCTATTGCATGGCAGCTCTACTGTACAGATAATTTACCGTCCGACGCGACATTATACGTTCCAAGGTCCGGCGTCGCTCATCGAACATCCACCAGGACATTCGCATGTGCCGCCCAGATCCTTGGGCAAATTCTTCGGGTCAATCTGCTTCGACAGCTTCTCCTTGTAATCGTAGCCTAAAATGTCGATTTTGCTGACGGTGACTTCGTCAAGCCAGGGCTTTATGATGGCCCAGACCGTAGAGAACATCCATGGCGAATTTATGATGTAGAATTTGCCCATGGTTTCGGGATATCGATCTTGACCGATAGATGCGGCTGCCGAGACGTAGTCCTTGACTCGATAGAAGCTGG